TCAGAAGGAAAAGTCATCACCTATCCAGCTTTGGCCGAAAGAGAATTTGAGGCTATGGAACCTTCAAGGTTCAAGCAAACACATCGGTAAGAAAAGCACAGTGTACATCTAACGTGAAGACAGATTAAGATCAATAAGGTTACTGAAAACTGCTCTCTTCCTGTTAGCAGCACAGAAAACAGCTAGTAACTAACTTTATGGTTCAAAGCTGTTGCACTCACCAGACGTCCATTCACCATGCATTTTGTTTTTCCTGCCATGTCTTTTATTTAGAACATCTAATAACTTGAATTGAAGTTGACTGGCTGAGAAGAGCGGTAATAAATTGATGGAATCCGCTCACAAATGCGTCCTACCTCCAGTCCAGCTGTCACTCTTCCTGCCACACTCAGGAAAGGATGCCATGGTAACAGACCGCAGAAGGAAGTGATGACAAGTTTCGTGAGCCACCCCTTATTTTCACTGAACCCGTCTGCTTTTTTAGAAGGACTATTGTATGAGGTATTTGGTTTTAAAGGGAGTGGTAGTCTGAACAGCCTCGACAGCTAGTTAATTCACCTGTGTAATAAAATGTGCTTGCAGAATGTGGAGCTGCCAATTGGAAGGCAATGCGCATCATGTAGTGTGACGTCGCCTTTTAATGTGGCTCAACCAGCGTGGATTGCAACTAAACTGGAGATGTCAGATCCGTATGGTTGGAAGGGGGAGGGGGAAAAGATCCAGCAATCTGACATCCTGTGTAAGCAGCATGAGTGGTTCTGTACCCACAATCTACCTCCCATTTATATAAAAACTGTAATCTGCTCATATAATGATAATAATCCTTGCATTTGATATAGCGCCCTATCACGTCTTCAAGACGTCTCAAAGCGCTTCACAAAATATACTGTAAAGTGAATTGATTCTATATTTTGTGGGAGAAACACGGCTGCAAATTGCGCACAGCAGTGCCCCACCGGGGATTGAGTGACTAATTTTTTATTTTTTTTAGAAATTATTACCCCGGAAAAATGATCCTTTTAACGACAAACAACAACATTCCTACTTACTGCTAGGTAAGCAGAGGCGTGTGGAGTAAGGAAAGTTGCCCAACATATACACATGCCCAGCGTTTTTCACATTCGATAAATATCGTGGGAGGGGGTCACCAAGAGGGAGAGGAGGAGGAAGAAAAGATGAAGTGTGTTGACCACAGGCAAGGTCAAAGAGAAATGTTTTAAGATGGATTTGATGGCAAGGAGAGAAGAGAGCAAGGAATTTGTGGAAGAGTTTCATGAGGTGAATTGCCAATTATTCTGGACATTGGGAGAAACTCCTTTTTTACAATTAGTGCTCAGTAATTATGGGATCTTCAACAAAGCAGCACTCCCCCATCATAGAGAATGAGCTCAAGTACCAACATAATGTTTAAACACACGACTTTCTAACGGAGAGGCTAAAGTGCTCCCAACCAAGCCTATCTGATACCTACACGAATAATGCACATATAAACGAAAGAGCTCCTTTAACTTATTTGCAAGGTTAGCACATCCGCAACTTTAAATTAACACCTTCCTTCCCCTCTCTACGCACACACTTGCAAATGTGAAAACAAATTGTGTTTAAACAATGAATGCTGACATCAGGGGAAAATCTGGCTGTGATCGAGTCATTGAGCATGACTGCGTGAAGGAAATGAGCTACTGTAATATACAAAGTTGCAATGAGTCAAAGTACTCTTGGGTTAATGGCACTGTCAATATCATAAAATCACAACAGAAGTTTGGATGAAGAAGATCCTTCAACCCATTTGATCTCATCTTTTCAGAACACCCACTCCACTTCCATTAGATCATCAATCTGTTTTTTCAGTGAGTAAAGTGTTCTAGCATGAACCACCCTTCCTGGTAACCTGTTGTTAATTACCCTGTGTAAGTGTTAATGGCAATGCTTCCACAATAGATGTTTCCAGATTTACTAATTCCCAGTTAAGTTATTAGTGATCCAGTCTTAACCAAAATGGATAAAATAATAATGTGTTAACTTTTTTTTAACATAGAAGCTTGATTCTTGGAGTGCTGAAATGCTTGACATGCTCTTGACAGAGGCAGGAAACAGAAACAAATGCACCACACTCACGCCTTAATATATCGCACAATAGTTCACACTGTTCGTTTCTCTGCCTAATCCACTCTTACTGACGGTTAACTCAATTTACTTATGATTAATTGAAGCTGAATGTCACTTTCTGATAGTGATGAGAGGGAGGAAACAATGACCAGGTGTGACACAGTAAGAAAGCAAATAAGGTGAATTCCTTTCACAGTCTCCTGGTCCTTTATTCCTGACAGCATATCGAACCTAGTCTTGGACAATCCCAGGATATCCAAGTAGTTTCTGAGCTATTGAGTATAAATATAACCTTGTTTCTGTTCTACTTCCTCCTCTCTTGCTCTCTTGTTCTGCCTTGCTTCACAGCTTCCTTCTTCCATTAATAAAGCTGCTTCCTCCTTCAAGTGTTAATGCCTAATCCGCAAGTCTAGACAGCGAGTGTTGGGATGGTGTTTGACAGGGTGCGGGGAGAGAAAATGGATCCCACAGCCTATCCTGATCTATCCTCACCCATCAGAATGCTGTTCGGGATCTGAAGATCATCAAAAAGTTATGGACAGAAAAAGCCCTTTTGACCCATTTGATCTCACCTTTCCAGAATCCAATAGAACCCCAGTAAAACACACTTTGTTGCATTGCAGGTTTGCTTACAATACATTTGGGGGTAAACCTCGATATTTACTCATCAATAAAATTCAAAATGCAAAGCAGAAAGCTGGTCATCTTGCTTCAAAATGCCTTCACTTCAGAAGGAAGTTCACTTCAAGGCCCAAGGAAGTCACATTAACAACAACCTGATGACCTGGAAGTCAGCCAACCGTGTCACAAAAATTGGCTGATGTTTTTAAGTGAGCTGATTGTCTCCGTGTATTCACAGTGGATGGAGAAGCACTGACTGGTGTTCACATCCCATTATAATGTTGGTTGGGATTTTATGGACCCCAACTATTGTGCTCTAACGTACATACCTACTGCCTTCCCATTCCCAGCATTAAGTTGCTTTTTAATCAAGTCTTATGTCCTGGCCTGACCCTTCCTGCTAACACTTTCCAACCATGAACAACTAACTGCATAAAGAAACACCTCCTGGTATCTGTCCTAAAATTGTCCTCTTTTCCTGTTGCCTTGATGCACCTGGAAGTATTGTTCCGGGTTTATTTAAAACTAAATAGCTTTCCTGTTCAAATAAATCTACAGTTATTTGAGAAGATTCACAAGGAATTTGTCAATGCAGCCATCGACATGTGGCTTTACCCACATCAATGTCTAACCTGGGCATATGGTGTGCAATGTGCTCCATAGTAGTGAGTGCTCTAACCACGAAGCTGCATTGTAAGCTATTGGTGGAATCCTATAGCTTAGTGGTTAGAGAACTTGCCTCGCAAGCGAGAGGACCTGCGTTTGATTCCCGGCAGGGCAAAACATTGGGCAAATTTCCTTACCCTACACGCCTCTGTTCACTAGCAGTAAGTAGAAACCCGGTTGTTAGTCGATTAGCAGATCACTTTTCTGGGGGTAATAATCCGTCTAAAATATAAATAAATAATAATCTGGTCACTCAGTCCACGACTGTTTGTGGGACACTGCTGTGCCACGTTTCTCCCTCAAAATATATACGGTCAATTCACTTTACAATATATTCTGTGAAGAGCTTTGAGACGTCTCGAAGACACGATAATGTGTTAAACTGCAAGGATTATTATATCAAATGCAAGGATTAATATTATTTTCTAATCCTATTCAACATCTTGTATGCACTTCTAGAAAATCATCCTCTGGAATATCTTTGAGATGTTTCTTTCAGACTGAAGAACCTTAGTTTAAACTTGTCATTCTTCATAGCTCATCCCTCTAACACTGGGGACTACAACAACAACAAACAACAAAACTACATTTATAGAGCGCCTTTCACGTCGGGAGGACGTCCCAAAGCACTGAACAGTCAGGTGTTGGGGCCCAAGCATAGGGGACGTGTGGTGTAGGGGTGAGGGAAGGCAGAGAGGTGGGAGGGCGACCAAAGGCACGATCAAAGAGAAGGGTCTTGAGACCGGCTTTGAAGGAGGCAAGAGAGGAATCGAGGTGAAGGGACCATGAGATGGAGTTCCAGAGTGTGGGGCAGAGAGGCTGAAAGCCCGGCCACTGATAGTAGGGCGGTTCAGGCAGGAGACATGGAGCAGGCCGGAGCCCGCTGAACAGAGGGAGCGGGCAGGTTGGTCCAGTATTCAGTGGCTGTAGATCTTCAGGTTACTCTGACCAAAACAGCACCCCAGCTGCCAAAGTTGCAGCTAGGGTACGATTCAGGTCAAAGTGACTCTCAGTGTGACCTAACCACAACTGTACCCAGTACTTCTGGTGGAGTCTTGTAGCGTATTGGTTAGAACACTCGCTTCGCAAACTAGAAGATCCGGATTTGATTCCTGGGCAGGGCAAAACCTTAGGCAACTTTCCCTATTCCACACTCCTATGTAAATCAGCAGTAAATCAGAAGCTTGTTAGTCAACTGGCGGATCACTTTCTGAGGTGCAACTGGCTTTGCCCACAAAATATACCAATCAATTCACTTTGCGTATATTCTGTGAAGGGCTTTGGGACATCTCGAAAACGTCAATGCAGCCATCGACATGTTTATTATTATTATTATTACTATCTAACGAGAGTACGGCACTGCTTGAGTACTTGAATATAAACAGAACAGGAAAAATTACCTTACAGCAAGTGACAATTGAGACTGAATACACAACAACATTTAAAAGGAAACTGGATAAACATTCGAATAGAAACAAATGTACGTGGAATGATCAAGGCATGCGGATTAAAGCAATTAGCTCCAATGGATGATCTAGCACCAGATAAGACTCATTTGGCCAAATGGCCTGCTGCTGAGACGTAATTTCCATGATTCTGCTCACCTCCAGCTGCTCCAATGGATTGCCAGTAAACGCCTTTGCTCTGCCCAGCCTCCTCTGGCAGGGAGAACGCTGGTATTCTTGCCCAAACCGCTTTGGTAGTTCTTTAAATTGCCTAGTCCTCTGTTGGAGAGGAAACAGCAATTATAAATACCAGTACAAAGGTATTCTGTTGTTACAGGAACTAAAGGCAAAGATGTATAACCAGAACCTTCAACGTGTTCCACAAAAGTCAGACACAGCATTAGAGAAGAAGCAGTTGTGGCAGCCAGACCCGCCAAGCTATACAACAACAACAACAACAACAACAACAAGATTCCATTTATAGAGCGCCTTTCACGTCAGGAGGACGTCCCAAGGCGCTGCACAGTTGGGTCATGACCCGAGCAGGGGGGAAATGGTCAGGGTGAGGGGAGGGAAGGGAGGGAGAGAGGAGGGGGGAAATGGTCAGGGTGAGGGGAGGGAAGGGAGGGAGCGAGGAGGAGGAGGAAGAGAGTCGAGAGGGGAGCTGAAGGCACGGTCAAAGAGAAAGGAAGCACAACAGAATAGCAGAAACAAGGTCCCTGTAGATTCATAGCACAGGAAACTTCTCATTTCCACTCTAAGTGAATAAGACTTTTAGATCTAATGCGCAAAACAATCCAGGATACAGCAAATTACCCCAAATCATTTCTTTAACCTTTAATTTTTTGGAGGGCTGACCCACAGATATTTGTAATTGAATGTTGAGGCTTCTCCTTTTATATTGGGATGAAATGCAGGAGGCTACAGGTTAGCTTCTTCCCTCCCCGTCCCTGCCTCACTCTGCTCTGTGTGGATCTGCCGTGCTGGCAGGTGCAGACATGATCAGGAAGGAACCTCCACCAACCCGGTCACTCACTCACTCACTCACTCACTCACTCACTCACTCACTCACTCACTCACTCACTCACTCACTCACTCACTCACTCACTCACTCACTCACTCACTCACTCACTTTGTAATACAACAATAACTTGCATTTGGATAGTGCCCTTCACTTTGGATAACGCCTCCAATGCGTCACAATGATGGGGTAGGAGAGAGGGGATGTGACGGGGCAGATGACCATAGCGCTCCGGGACGCTACTCCACTTGAAAGGTGCTATATAAATGCAAGTTGTTGCTATTGTAGCCATGGTCGAAGAGGTGCTTTCTTTAGATGAGACTTACAGACAAGTAAAGAGGGACCAAGATGGTTTGGACATACAACCAGGTTTGGGGAAGTAGAACCTGAAAGCTTTACCACTGATAATTGCCCAGATGATTGCCTGGATAGGCCAGGGGACTGCAGGAAGTCTGACTTAGCCGAGCAGAGAGGATGAGCAGAAAGGGTCCGGTAGGGGAAGAACACAGAGTTAGGGAGATGCTAGAGCATGAAGGGATTGAAAGTGGTGAATACCCTAAAATTGATCTGCTGGGAGATAGTGGAGCCTGGGGAGGACTGAGGTTGTTCAGATTTTGGAACAGGTGGACAGAGGACTTTGGGATAAATTTTATGGATTAGTTTATAGATGGATCCTCAAGAGCAGATAGCTCTCTTGGATCCTCTCTCTTCTTTCTATTCTATATACTATCCTTTTTTTTACCTCCAACTGTCTGCTGAAAGTGTTGAATAACTTACCAAAGAGCCCATTATTCAAACCTCGACAGTGAATGTCTGTAAAGTATTTGACAGCAAGTGGCACAAAGCTAAGCCTGATTACATCTTCAACTGACATCCACAACTTCCAGCAGGGAGTAGGGATCCAGAGCCCAGGATGATTTTCCTCCTGTCTAGCCCATCCACAGCGGCTGAGGTCAGGCTCTCTGCCCCCACCCTCTGGAACTCTTTCCCACAGTGCCTCCCCCGCGCCCCATCCCTTGCCTCCTTCAAGACCCGTCTCAAGACCCTCCTGTTTGACCATGCCTTCGTTCACCCTTCTGTCCCTACCCTCCTCACTCTCCACCCCTCTTCATCCTAACACCAGCTCGGATGCGGATCCCTGACTGCCCAGCACCTTGGGACGTCCTGCTGAGGTGAAAGGCGCTATACAAGTGTAATTATTGTTGTTATTGAAGTCAAGTGTAGCACTGAGTGCTACCCTGGTTGAGATCAGTGAACTTCTGACCTAGTTGTTTGGCAGCACTAACCAACCAACCATTTTTCAAGGTGTCACATTGCACTCAACCCTAGGATCAGCTTAGATGCAGACAAGCAAATGAACTGTGACCCAGATCACTGGCATACCATCTCAGGGGTAATTATTGTTTTATAACCGACAAAAACATGCGGTATTAGTGAACTCTGCAGCTATTCTTAAACCAGGAAGCAACAGGCAAAGCTCTCCACAACGACATGTAACTATCTCCACTGATAGAGCAAGGACATAACCTATCACATTTCATCTGTTCAATCGCATTGACAATTGGTCTGCTCTCAGGTGTACAGCAGACCAGCATGTCCAGTCGAGCTTCAAAACGAACAGAAACCTCACTTGTTCTTGTTTAACGCCTCCAGATTGTCTGTGTCTGAAAAGAATGAGAAGTTATAAAGGATAAAATGACTGTTTGTAGTACTCTGCTGTGCACAATTGGCTGCCGCGTTTCACCCACAAAATATACCGTCAATTCACTTTACAGTATATTCTATGAAGCCTTTGAGATGTCTCAAACATGCAATAAGGCACTATATCAAATGCAAGGATTATTATTATATTAAAAAATCCTTATATATTATATAGCATCTTGTCACATCGTCTAAACAACAACAACAAGATTACATTTGTATAGTGCCTATCACGTCGGGAGCACATCCCAAGGCGCTGGGGTCCGGGAGGGGAGAAGGGAGGGGAAGGGAAGGGGGTGGCCGATGGCATGGTCGAAGAGGAGGGTTTTGAAGTGGGACTTTAAGGAGGGGGTGAGGTGGAGTGATTGGGGGATGGATTCCAGAGGTTGGGGGCAGAGTGGCTGAATGCTCTCCGCCAATGGTGGGCAGGTGGGTCGGGGGATGTGGAGCAGGCCAGAGCCGGCTGAACAGAGGGAACGGGCGGGTTGGTAGGGGGTTAGGATGTCGCAGAGCTAGGGTGGGGCGAGGCCATGGTGGGCTTTGTAGGTGAGGACCAGGATCTTGAATTGGATCCTCTGAAGGATAAGGAGCCAATGGAATCGGGCGAGAATGGGTGAGATGGGGTCACAGAGTTTGGTGCGGGAGAGGACACGGGATGATCTGAGTTCTGGATGATCTACAGCCTGTGGAAGGAAGAGTTGGGAAGGCCAAAAAGCAGGACATTTGCATAGTCGAGCCTGGAGCTGATGAAGGCATGAACAAGAGTTTCAGTGGCCTGAGGGGTGAGGGAGTGGGGGAGTCGGGCAATGTTACGGAGGTGAGGGAAGGCAGAGCGGGTCATGTCTTGGATGTGGGAAGAAAAGACAGTTGAGAGTCGAACAAGACACCTAGGTTCCTGACTGGCTTGGTAAGTTGCAGTGTGCAACCATGGAGGTTGATGTTGCCAGAGCCTGAGGTGCTGAGGCGCTGGCGTGAGCCAATCAGGAGGGCCTCAGTCTTGTTCACATTCAACTGTAGGAAATTTGCCCTCATCCAGGACTTGATGTCCGACAGGTAGTCTCAAAGTGCTTCATATAATTTATTGTAAGGGATAGTGACTGTGTATTTTGTAAATGAACGTGGCATCCAATTTCTATAAACCAATGATGACCCACAAACAGCCATGAAGTGAATGACCAATTGTATTTGGAGGGTTGTTAGCCAGGACACTGGGGAAAAACTCACTTGTCATTTTGAATAGTGCCACTGATCTTTAGTGTCGACCTGAACAAGCAGACATGAATGTTGCTTAGCATCTTATCTGAAGGATGGTATCTCCACCAATGGGATTTCAGCTTACAACAACAACTTGTATTTATATAGCACTCTTCACGTAGGATAATATCTTGGGAGTGCTTTATGCATCAAGCAGAGGGGAGAGAGGGGGAAGGGAGAGATGATCATAGACATGGTTGAAGAGATAGGTTTTAAGGCAGGACTTAAAGATGGTGAAAGAGAATTCCAAAAGTTAATGGTATAGGATATGAGCTCAAGCCTAGACTCTGAGCTCAAAGTCACACAGCTTTATATGAAAAGGGTTAGAAACTTTGAAAGTGGTGGGACAGGCACGATAGGCCAAATGGCCCACTCTAGTTCCTATGTTCCTAACCCTGGGCCATCCTAATGTTGGTTCCCAATGTTGGGAGTAGTCAATGGTTTTGCACCTTTTATACAGGATTTGCTCAAGATTTTGCCACCAATGGTTGTATGTCCAAACATTGCTGTTCAGCTTCAATCCCCATAGTATTGGGTAACACATGAGTTAAGAAATGTGTTTGAATATCAAGTGTTGCTGATAGGAATTAAAATTCCGGTGCTTTTACTGAATCCTGATATTTCAGGATTTTAATGCCCCAAATCCCAGGATCCCGGGATCCCAAGATGCTAAATCTTGCCTTGGAAAAACAGCATCACCGGCTCTGCGTAGAAAGCTGTGGTGGCGGAGCAAACAAAAGAGAGAGAAAGAGAGTGAGAGGGGTAAACATAAAACAACACAGTAACGGCAGAAAGCAACTTTGCCCCTTCTTTTTAATAGTTTTTTGATACAATCCCGAAATCCCAGGATTCTCTTCTATAAATCCTGGGATTTGGGGAGCACCATTATCATACAGGATTCCCAGGGTTGTAACCATGAGTTGCCGGCATGCCCCTTGTTACCTCAAGGCGAGATTTCCCCAACACATACCTCACCGAACATCCTCGCTCCAACCCTCCATAAACTCCAGCCCATACCGAACACTGCTGCCCATATCCTCTCCCTCACCAAGCTCCACATGCCCACTACATCTCGTCCTTGTTGGGCTCAACCTTCCTCCAGCACATTAATCCTCATGGTTCAACTTCAAAGCTCTGAGAGACTACCCTGCGTGAGGGGCTCTCTCTAAATGCAAGTTGTTATTGCCTCAGGCCTACTGCTCCGTGCCCTCCCCCCGTGTCCTAACATTGGTGACCAAGCTTACAGCCTTATGCTCCTGTTTTCTGGACTCTTGCCCAATATCCCTTCATCTTGATCCTTCTCTTCTTGTCTGAAAACCTTTCTGAAAACCTATCTCTCTGACTGCATTTTGATCAACATCCTGAAAAGCCCCGTTGTTCCTGCCTGGCTCGGTGAGTCACATGTTTGCAAAATGGTTTGAGGCGTTATCCTACGTAAAAGGTACTATTTAAATGCAAGTGATTTGTTAGTACCTGTACTGACAAAACATCATTAACATGAACCACAACAAATATGTTTGGGTTGCATGTGGACCACTTAAATCACTCCCTGTTTACATAATGTGGGTGCCATGGCAATAATCTTGCCCACGTCAGGCTAATCTGAATTTCCCCCAAGTGCTTTCATTACTTGTGTAGCTAGGGAACTGCTTGCAGCAAAAATCCTGAGTGCAATTTACTAATTGTGTTTATTTAAAACTGACTAATGTATGAGGCAAAATAAATTAGGAAGCACTAAGATTTTCCATTGTTTGTCGCTACAGGAGAGCTCCGTTATAACGCCCGCACTGCTGTGTACTGGACTGTAGACTCCACTGTGGGCCAATGCCAACCAGGAATGTTTTACACATGGCTCCCTGGCTTAATGCAAAACATCACTGAGGATGGCACTTTACAAAGAAAGTGGTGTCAGTGGCACTTCCCTGCGCATATATAAAATGCAGGAAGTGACATAATAGAGAGTACGCTCAATTCACTTTACAGTATATTCTGTGAAGCGCTTTGAGATGTCTAGAAGACATGAAAAGCGCTATATCAAATGCAAGGATTATTATTATTATTAAGATGGTAACACTCACTTTTGAGTCAGACAATTGTGGGTTCAAGACTTTGAATTCACACAGTCCAAGCTAACACTCCTACTAATTTGGTCATTCAATCCACGAATGTTTGTGGGACACGGCAGCCAGTTTTCACACAACAATGTCCCACAGCCAGGTGGTAAATGATTAATTTTATCTAGAGGAATGTTGGCCAACGCACCTGGAGAAACTCTTCTACTTTTCAAATAGTGTCATGGTCTTTAACATCCATCTGAACAGGCAGACGAAACACCCTCTTGGTGACATCATCCGCAGACATGGGGTCAACTTCCATATGTATGCGGAAGACACCCAACTGTACCTCTCTACCTTCACCCTTTGCTCCAAGACCACTGTTGTCCTGACAGAATGTCTGTCAGACATCAAATCCAGGATGAGATCTAACTTTCTTCAGTTGAATGTCAACAAGACCGAGGCTCTCCTGATTGGCCCCTGTCAGGGCCTCCACACCTCAGGCGCTGACAGCATCACCATCCATGGTTGCACACTCCACCTTGCTAAGCCATTCCGGAACCTTGGCATCTTGTTTGACCATCAACTTTCTACCCCACATCCGTGCCATGTCCCACTCTGCTTTCCCCCACCTTCGCAACATCGCCCGGCTCCGCCACTGTCTCACACCACAGGCCGCCGAAATTCTTATACACGCATTCATGACATCGAGGCTTGACTATGCAAACTCCTTTCTTGTCGGCCTCCCCAACTCCTTCTTCCATCCAGAGCTCTGAAGCCCGTGTCCTTTCCTGCACCATGAGCCTATCACCCCCATCCTTGCCCAACTCCACTGCCTTCTCATCACTCAGAGGATACAGTTCAAGATCCTGGTCCTCACTTTCAAAGCCCTCCAAGGCATTGCTCACCCCTACCTCTTTGACCTCCTAATCCCCTACCATCCTGCCCTCTCCCTCTGCTCAGTGGGCTCCGGCCTGCTTCATGTCCACTGCCTCACCATTGGCAGGCAGGCCTTCTGCCACTCTACCCCCACCTTCTGGAACTCCATCCCACAGTCCCTCCGCCTTGCCCACTTCCTTGCCTCCTTCAAAACCCATCTCAAGACCCTCCTCCTCGACCTGCTTTCGATCACCCTGCTCCCCAATCCCGACCCCCATCTCGGGTTCGAAACACTGACTGTCCAGCGCCTTGGGATGTCCTCCCGACGTGAGAAGCTCTATATACATGTAATTTTATTGTTGTTGTTTGTTTAATATCTCATTGGAAGGACAAAAATGCAACACTGGAATGTCAGTCTTGAGTTCAAAGTCCCAACATAGGGCTTGAGTCCACTTTGTCCTTTGCCCTTCCACCAGACTGGTCGCTTCAATCATGTGCTGGTCATTCACTGTGTGTCACGCTCCAGTCTTTTCTATTCTGTAGCAGCCAATTAGTGACTTATGTGACCTTTCACAATCCTCAAAACCTTCCTGTCACACTCCATACCTTTAAGCACAACGTTACAGGACAAAGTCCAGCGTCCTCTCATCCTAACCCTAATTCGTGCACTCTGTCTGGAGATACTGCAACACTAGGTTGATGGCAAAGTATATAAAAACCCAGCCTCTCCCAACTGCCACTTTAAGTCTTCACTTCTTGACTTTTTGGCCATTACACCTTTGTCTTTGAAGTCCAGATTCTGCACGAATAGGACAACCTGAACCTCCACATGATGGGGACGTGGGGGTAGAATTACTGACAGCAAATCCTTTGCCTTTGGCCTTCTATTGGCTGGGATTGGGATGGCACAGGGTCCGGATATGAGGAATTTGATCCGCAAGAGAATCAAAGAGGAGTGGAGAAACAGGAATACAGAGAGGCGATCTGACCCATTCATTTGCTCAAGACGTCATGATTTAAGGAATGGAAGGGCAAACTCACTTTCTCTTGATGGTTAGGGACCCTGATTTGGTTTTGGGATTAAGGGGAACCTGGGAGGATTTGGTTTACTTCAGCCCAATGGGGGGTTTCATGGGTAAAACCGTGTTCACCCCAAAAAATCTCTTCTAGCAAAAAATAATAATAATAATAACCTGAGTTTATGCATCATAATGATTAATTCACTCCAAATACACAGTCACACTTATTAGCAAGAATGTGAAGCAGTTCGAGACTTATCAATATGATAACAACAACAATAACAACAAATTGCATTTTTATTGCACAGTTAATGTCGGGAGGATGTGTGCTATATCAAATGCAAGGGCTATTATAGGATTTGTATAGCGGAAATAATCTTTCAACATGCATCCTCTTGTTGGTCAAGTTTGATCCTTAACTTTGCCTTTTCCACGGAAAATAGTGAGAATTTTTCAAGCCTGTAATCCCTAATTCTTGTTATCCTTATGTGAAGCTTCCCTATCCATGACTGCTGTTCTTGCTATAAACTTTTTATTGGTTTGTGTCCGATTAGGTTTGATACACAATCTGTCCATAAGCACTAAAATAACATGATTTTAGTCCCAATTGCCCAATAAACCACCAACACCACAGAAATCGTTTGGGTCTTTCTGAAAACTAATTGCTTCAAATAGTTAACCATTCGCTGTAATAGAAATTCCATTATTAAAACGTAAATGACCAGATTTTGCTGGTAATGAATGGAAGATGGAACTCATTGTGCCCCATAGAGCAATTTACATTCCAATCTGTGCCTGGCCCGATCCCCTCCAACAACAACAACAACTTGCATTTATATAGCAGCCCTCACGTAGAGAAGCGTCCCTGGGCGCTTGACAGTGGAGCATGACTCCGAGCCGGTGGGAGGGGAAGGACAGTCCTCTGAAGCAGAAACTTGTTCTGCTTTTTGTGGAAGCAACTAATGGACACCACACCTGCCATGAGGTCCATTCCACAATCCTCCAAAACCAGCAGCTGATACCTGTCCAAGCCGTCTGCCTCCACCATTAATGCTTCACAAAACGCGAGTTGAGCATTTTTTGTTGAAGAGAAAAAAATAGAAAGATAGCCACTAGCAAACAGAAAAGATGCACTTCACTTCAGCCAGATAAATATTTGTCAGGTGAACCTTTGATTCCTCAGAGCTAGATATTTATTTAAAATACTACGACTAACCATGCTGCAAATGAAACCTTTTGTAAAACCCAGAGAGGATCTACGTAATGCTGCTCTTACCTTTGTAATTTTCTCCGTTGATTGATAAAAGTGCTTCAGTGGGACGCAATGATCACCCAGCATGTTTGGAAAGTCGCGCTGCCTACAAATGCAGATGTATCAGTTGTGATGTGCTTTGCGACACAAGGCAAACAGTGCTGTGACGTTATCAGAGGAACTGTACACAGCGAGAGAGCAGCCAGAGCAAACAGCCTCCAATAATAAATCTCCCTGCACGTGGGCAAGCACTGGGAAAATATTTTTCTTCCCTCCCGGTGGCAGGTACAGGTTCAGGGATGTGACGTTTAGGGCACACAAGTACATAGATTTACAAAGATTTACAAAGATTATACAAATTATACTATGCTCCACACTGGTCTTCAGCCCTTCCTTACTCACTCCCATACCCTTCTGTTCCCTCTCCCTCGGGTGAAGGTCTAGCTTTCTCTTGAATGCATCTACACTATCAGATTCAACACTTCATAGGGTAAAATTAACCTTTTGTGTGCCTGGCACCCAAAAGATATGTGGGCTGCCATTTTCAAGTGCTCTAATTTATAAGTAATGGGCCCAGTGGCAGACTGTCTCCCTGAAAGCGCTTAGGATTGTAAAATGGGGGCGCAAGTTCTTGGGAGGTGCTCGGTAGTCAATCATGGGGTGTCTAAGGAAATTTCCTGATTTCCTGTATAGCCAGTGCACCACTGAATAATAATAATACTATTCCTTGCATTTGATATAGCGCCTCCTAAATTCTCTTTTATATCCTCTAGTCACTATGTTAACATTTGTATTCCCTGGTTACAGACTCCCCAACCACAAGGAAGAGCCTACTTATGCTAACCTTATCGAATCCTTTTATAATTTTAAGCACTTCCGTGAGATCCCCTCTTAAATGCCTCTTCTGTAATGAAAAAAATTCCATTGTATTATAATTTTCCAAAATAATCCTACAGCAATCTTATAAATGGTTTGTGTTCAATCAATTTAATAAAATTCAATAAAAATCTGGCCATGAAATAGATATTTTTGGCATATTCCGTTGAGAATTGGTTAACACGAAGTATTCTTTCAAAGCATTTATTATTCCTGCAGAGGAGGGTGGACCCTTTTTTTTTTACATCGGTTGTTTTTAAGGAACATGAACGGAACTAGGACCCAGTGTGAGTGCCGGGGTTGGTGACTTTGGCTGAATCAACTGATTTAGCGTCTTGTCTCCATGGCTACAAATCAGGATATTGTTAAACAATCCTGGTGACCGCTGAGCAGAGCGTGCTCGACTTCTGCACTGAAATACAGCACTGCCATGCAACATTTTCAAGACTTTCTTCCATAAGAAGTCCTGTAGCTCAGAGCAGTCGCCTCGAAAGCGAGAGGACCCGGTTTGATTCCCGGCAGGGCGAAATGTTGGGCAAGTTTCCTTACTCCACACGCCTCTGTTTACCCAGCAGTAAATAGGAACCCACTTGTTAGTCGATTAGCGGATCGCTTCTTCCGGGGGTAATAATCCCTTTAAAAAATAAAATAATTTGGTCACTCAGACCACGACTGTTTGTGGGACGTCGCTGTGCGCAATTAGTTTCTGCGTTTCGCCTACAAATATACAGTCAATTCACCTTACAGTATATTCTGTGAAGCACTTTGAGACGTCTAAATGATGTGAAAGGCGCTACATCAAATGCAAGGATTATTATTGTATCCGAAGTTGAGTTTATAGATGAAATAGAGGCATTGCAGCAACAGGAGAGCTTTTCTTCCATTATCTGGTTGACTTTTAATGGGTTTACAGAGGATTCAAAGAGTTTGAGGTTGCGTTACTGGTGTGGGACACAGGCAGTTCACAGGAACCCATTACCTGGTTCAGTGTGGCAGTAAGTGAGTGAAATGTCTATGCAGCAACACCTGACAATCACAGATTGCCACAGCCGGTCAGTGAGTGCCTTGGGCTACCACACAGCTCGCAGAGAGTTCCTGACGGGTTTTGAAGGTAAGAAATCTGAGAACTCACCACAAACCACTTATTCAAAATAATTGGCAAAAGAACCAGAGGGGAGATGAGGAGACATTTTTTTTACAGAAAGTTGTTACGATCGGGACTGCACCGCCTGAAAGGGCGGTGGAAACAGATTCAATAACAACTTTCAAAAGGGAATTGGATAGGTATTGCAGAGGAAAAATTTGCAAGGATATGGGGAAAGAGCGGGGTAGCTCTTCTAAAGAGCCAGCACAGGCATGTTGGGCTAAATGGCCTCCTTCTGTGCTGTAATATTTTATGATTCTATGAACCTCAGTATTTCAAATCACTGATTTATAGTTTTGACAGCTAGAGGATGAGTAGTCTCGGTCATATTTATGCTTCCAATCGTTGAGGGGTGATCCGATTACGATTTCTAAAACAATAAAGGGAATTAACAAGTTACATGGGGGTCAATTCTGCCTTCTATGAAAGGTCTCCAAAATATGGGAACATAATCTTACAATCAGAGCTGGGATGATTAGATCAGAGTGCACTTTCCCAGAAACACAGATTAAGTTGAGATGTTTACAAGAAGACAGATAAAGATTCCTCCCCTCCCATTCCCCCACCCCACCTCCCCCATGCCGATATAACATACTTATCATAAATCGAGTTTGCTTACTCATGTCTTCCCACGTATTAAGAAAGGGCAAACTCTTGGTCATCAAGTCACTGCCAAGGTCAGTTGTGATGAAGATTTACATCTAAGCAAATGTAGATGTTTCGACAATATAAACTGTAGGTTAAACATTAGAATATACAGCACAGAAATAGGCCATTCGGCCCAACTGGTCTTATACTGGTGTTTATGCTCCACATGAGCCTCCTCCTGCCCTTCCTAAGCCTTCAGCTAAACATATCGTCAGAATTAACATGTTCAAAAGTCACAATAAGGGGTTACAAAATCAAGCGAAGAAGGAATGTTGAATTATTTTACACAGAGTACAGTGAACTTCCCAGAGAGGTGGGAGGGTGGGGTGGGGCGAGATTGTATTAGCAAGTTCAAGAGGGGATCAGTTAGTTATTTGACAAAGAAATCTATTAAGGAGAATGAGGAAAGAACATGCTTTCATCACTTTGGGACCAGCCAAATCTTTCCCAGGACTGTATATTCCTGAGATCTGTTTTTTCGCGTTCCAGACGGTGTTATTAAATGGTGGGATTTAGAGACTGGGAAAATGACTTGTGTGGCCCAGGAACACACTGGCATAATCACACAGTTCCTTTACTGGGCTGAACCTAAGCTCCTCTTCTCGGCCTCCAACGATGGCACCATAGTGATATGGAATGTAGCAGCAACCGTGTTTGACAGGATTGTGGTAAGACCTGCACCTATCACTCACTTCATTTAGACATTTTCTTTTTAATTTAACTGCAAGGACCACACTCAAAATGCTGTGTAGAATGGTTTGAAAGTGTATTTACGTGCGTAAATTTGATAGAGAGGAAATTGTGACTGCGCAATGTAGTAACTAATTGTATCACTGTAAGTGATAACAGATTTAAAAGCTTCTCTTGGTTTTAGTGAATTTTGATTTAATTAATTCCTGTGTTCCCAGTTGAATGCTGCTGTGTTTTGCATGGCAATCTGCTACCGACGCCACCAAATCATCTGTGGTTTCAAGAAACGTCTGAGAGTCTTTCCTTTGGATGAGAAGAAGGAATCTGGCCACGTGATTGACCTGAAGAGAAGTTTCTCTGATCACAGGCATAGCGACATTGTGTCATGTGTGGTCTGCCTGGACACACGCGTGTTCTCCGCTGGGTATGTACGGCACTAAATAAAACTGTTGATGCATGAACGTGTTACTAACAATCTTTGATGTGGTCAAAGATTACAAGCTGACAGGCTGGTTCTGAACAAATTGGAGTCATAGGGGGACACTGTCAAGATCTGTTCACGGGAAACTAATTTGACTACAGAAAAATTCATCAGCAGGACTTGGAGAGGCAGAGCTACGGAGTTGGACATTTACTTGGCCTTTTTTGGTACAATGCTGTTAAGAGTCATGTGTTAATAGATAAGTCATATGAGTGTTTTTAATCTTATTTTATTGACCAGTAACCATTTTTGTAACTAAACGCAGCAAATTGTTTACTGTATACATTTTATCCAGAAAGATTGCAAGAGGAAGAATGTAAAAGGTCCAAGGAAAGAGCAGGGAATTGGGATTATGTAATTGTCTCTGGGAGAGGAGCTCACACCAGCATAAGCTTCTTCCTGCGCTGTAAATTTTTATAGTTTTAGACTAGTAACAGTCTCACAAGGAGTCAAAAGGTCACACATTCGTTCCTATTCCAGGTAGATGCTCCAGAAATCTAAATGACATGACATGTTGGGCCAAATGACCTTGTCCTGTGCTGTAAATGTCCATACCTGTACAATGGTTCCAATCCAAGGTCAAACCGGGAAGTTGCCAGGAGTGAAATTTGACACTAATATCATCTATCACATTTTTCACCTCAGTATTTTCCAAACTCACGTCTATATCTCTTCTCCATTGAACAGGTACGACAAGAAGCTAATTGTTTATGAAACCAGTTCTAACCCGAGTAACAAACCTCTTCAGGTGGTCCACTGCAACCCAAGCGCGCACGAGGCTGGCATCACATGTCTGTTGGTAGTACAGGAGCACGAGAGCACACGGTGAGTGTGAGAGTCCCACAATGGTCAGGTCAGAAACTTCTGCATAGAGCAAGGGTACGTGTATTTTAGAGTTGGTGTTGTGAGGTCTGTGCTATGGGTTGTTAGTGTAGAATTGCTGGAGTTACGACAAGACAATATTACAATTAAATGTTTACTTTGACCAAAGTACCTCTCGGGTATTGACAGAGGCCACTCGAGAGGTGGAAACAGTCACAGACTCAAGAGGGAACAGCAAACAACAACGACTTGCATTTATATAGTGCCTTTCACATGGGGAAGAGTCCCAGAGCTTATCCCAAAGGAACTTATCAACAAATAAAAAACATAATGCTAAAAAATGTATTCCAGTATTAGAATGGTTAGACTGTAGTCAGGAAAGATGTTAAAACCCTAAAGGACTTAAACGTATCTGAAAAAGAGAATAATCAGGAGATAGCGAACATTAAATGACTGCTATCTGGAGATTTTGTACCAGGGAGAACACAAAATCATTACCCCAACATCTAGCAAACATTGTTTGTGCTCTAGAGCTTTATCATTATTGAGGCTGAGCTTCAATAAGCTTGAGATAAGCTTAATGAGTTGGAAACAAAGAAATCCCCTGGGAAAGATGAACTGTACCCCCAGAGTACTAAGGGAGACTGTTCACCTGTAAAGGCTGGCACTGGGTGGTGTGCCATCTCTGCTTAAATGATTGATAACAAATTCCTCTGAACTCAACAGGCTGGTGACCGGTTCCTTTGACAGAGCCATAAAAGTCTGGTCCCAGGACGGGCAGCTGATCCAGAAGTTACACCACTTACCGGGAACAGTCAGCAGCCTGTGCTTTGTGCCTTGTGTGAACGTGGTCTGGATCTGCAGCGGGGTTAGAGTCCCCACTCTGTTTGACCCGAGTTCCGGAGAAATTGTGAGTCTCATGAGAAATGTCTTTCCAGACACAAATAACGCAGGAAGTTTGTGGAAAAAGCCAGACATGTGCTCCAGACAATGGTCTTCCTGCAGCCACTCGTATTGTCTGAATGGATAATAATAAAAATCGTAGCATTTGACATAGCACGAGTAACATCAAGAACATCTCAAAGCATCCACAATGTTTTTTCTGTCATGTGTAGGGACTGAGTATTTTTGTAGGCAAATGTGGCAGCCAATATGCATACAGCAACATCCCACAAAGAGCCATGAAGTGAATGATTAATTTTGTCTGGGGGATTGTTGGCCAGAACATGAGAAAAAAATTATTTTCAAAAATTGACGTGGGATCTTTAATGTCCACCCGAATCAGTAGATTGGACGTTGGTTCATAAAATCTCATCCAAAGAACGGCAAAGAATAACTCCTTCATCACTGCGTTGAGTGTCGGCCTAAACTGTGGGCTCAAAGTCCCCGACATGGGGTTTGAACCCAGAGGCCAAAGTATTTATTGCTGAACCAAAGTGACACTTGTAAAGGGTCCTCAACTGTGTTGAAGAAAACTGTCTGACCACTGAATATGGGGCAGGGGAATAGAAAGGTGCATAAAGAGTGCAAGCTAGGAGAGAGCTGGGGTGACAATTGTAAAAGGAAAGCACTAGTGAAACTCACATAGGTTCACCATCTGGAACTTCGTTCAGATGTTGATCACAGTTTCAACTTCTGAGAAGCTGCAATCCAGAGAGTCGGCCTCAACACCTGCAACATTTGTTATTTATTAATTCTTTGGAGGATTTAGACGCAAATGTCTCAAAGCTGCAGGGAATGAGAATCTAACTGTGATTCTCTCACCCCTCCCATCCTACACACATGCACATACATACCCAGAGTGCTCAGAGACAGCATGGTATCCAGGTATCCAACTCCGCTGTAAAGCATTCGGGTAAGTAGATGTTAGCAGTAATAAGAATAATTTTTACTTTTGATATGGTGCCTTTCAGTCGGGTGAAAGCACTTCATTGGACACATTTGTAAAGTGGAGTGACTGTGTGTTTTGTGGACAAATTTGCGTCAGCCAATTTCCACATGGCAATATCCCACAAACAGTTGTGAAGTGAGTGATTGATTTTATTTGCGGAATTGTTGGACAGGATTCCAGGAGAAACTGCATTGGTGTGTCAAATTTGAATATATGAGTTGCAATTCCCAACGTGGGGCTTTAAACCACAATCTTCTGACTCAGAGGTGAGTCCTATCAATTGAAACAGGCTGATGTTGCTATCGGACTATTCTCTTCTCTGCGTGTCAGAGAGATAAGAGCTTTGTGCCCTCTGTCAAACTGTTGCAGACCCACAGTGGATTCTGTTATTACGTTATTATGTTACGTTATAATCCCTCCGTGGATTATGATATGATATTGTCTTTCACTATCAAACTCATTGCAGGTGTCCGAGTCTATTGATACCTTTCAAAAGCACAGGAATGGACCAAGGTTGAATCAAGTGATCTGCCCCCCAGAAACTAACCATGTGATCGGTAAGTGTATAAATCAGTGCTTCACCACCTGCGCAACACTTCACCACCACGTAGCAGCACTTCACAAATGATGTAATACTTCCACAAACATTTTCGACCACAAAATACACAGTCACTACACTTTACAGCATATTCTGGTGAAGCGCTTTGAGACACCTCAATGACATGATAAGGCGCTATATCAAATGCGATGATTATCATTATTATTAATGCAGTGCCTCATCAGCTTCTGATTCCCAACCTTTCAAAACATAAAAACTTTATGACCTTGTGTTGGAGAACGCTACCAACTGTGACAAGCTGCTAAAACGGAGCTAAAAGAATAAAAATATTTTAAAAGAATTAAAACTCTATTTTAATGCTTCTTTTAAAACCAACCTAATGCATCAATCCTGCAACAGATCCAGTGAAGTTATGCTAAGCATGTGCTAAGCTTTACATTACATGTTTATCTTACCCTGGTGTTAACGTGAACCATAAATTAATAGGAGTGTGGGGTGATTCCGGCTATTTCAGTAAATAAGCTGTTGTAAAGCTTTCCACCTGCCTAGCTAGCCAGTGAAACCCACAAGCTATTTGGCTGGGGGCTGCTATGCTTGGATCAGCTTTGCTACTTGATGCTCATAAATGGGAACGATGCTTCTAAAGTCAGCGCTCACACAAGAATGAGGTTTGGATCAACCCTATGTTTTTCTTGGACTAAACCTCCTCCATCGCAGCTGCCAGCCAAACAGCCTCAGTAAATACCAGACCTTGCTTCACGAAAGGGAAAAATACAAGTGCATATTTTAATCAATGCTACTGCTGCACTGAACACCAAACACACCACCTTACACACTGAACATCAAACACACCATCTTACACACTGAACATCAAACACACCATCTTACACACTGAACTACAAACAGACGACCCTACAAACTGAACACCAAACACACCACCTTACACATTGAACTACAAACACACCACCATACACACTGAACTGCAAATACACCATCTTACACACTGAACACTCCTCTAAAATTCCTCATCATTCCAGCCCCTCCTCTACTTAATTCCTTGGAAGAACCTCAAACCCTTGCATTTACACATGGCCTTTCATATAAAATCAATATCTTGAAGCACTTAGAAAAATGAGATTAATTAGAAATGGAGGGAATATTGTTATTGAGTAAATCAGTTAATCTGTCCCAGTGATTGCACCCACAATGAGATGGCGAGCCAACTGATTTGAATTTAGGGTAAATTTGGGGGAATATGAACCAAGATTAACAGGGAGAAAAACTCCACATTTCTTTGAAATAGTCTTGGTCTCTGATCATCCACGGAAATCACAAGGCAGTCGGAACCTAATCAATGACTCAATCAAAAAGGGGATAATGATCTGAAAAAAACAACAGGAGAACATTTCAAAGCACTTCAGGATACACTGTAAAATGCAGGGACTGTATTTTGTAGGTGAACGTGATAGCCAACTTGCTCACAACGATGTCTCGCGATCAGCCATGAAGTTGAATTTAATACAAAAAATTGTTATTTCGACAAATGTGGCTGCTAATTTGAACCAGCAGCGACTCGCAGTTGAGAGGAGGTTTTTGGGAGTTGAATTTGAACAACGGTAGAATATTTGCTGGGATGGGAACGAAAAGGAAATTTCAACAATTGAAGAGCAAGGAAAAAGAAAATGAAGGGACAGTAAATAACATTATCGGATATAATACATAGGTAGTTCGGGACATTTGTGCATGCGACCTCCAGGATGGCGGAAGGCGAACTAGGTGGACCTTGGTCTTTGTTTGTCTAGCATTTCTTACGGTCTTATGTTATGACAAAAAAAATGCATAAATGGGTAAAAATAAAGCAGAAGGCAGAGAGGTGGGGAGCTTAGGTGTGGAGTGGCAGCCAATCTGTACCTGCAGAGAGGGTTAGAGGCCTAGATCAGGCACAAAACGCCTGTAACTTCTGTTTTTCTTTCTGTTGTTCTTGGGCTGATAACGTGGAGACAGATTCTGAGATTGGACGCAGCCACACGCTTTGCAGATTTTAATGAAGACTTGAGACTGTGAAGCTGTATCCCTTATCTCCTCCTACACTCCACATGTGATCAAACTCCAAACTTGGCATCACCTAACCATTAAAAGTAGTATTTACACTTTTCTTGCAATTGATACAGCACCTCTTACATCAGGAGGATGCCTCAAAGTGCGTCACAGGATTTACTGTGAAGCATAGCGACTGTGCATTTTGTAGGCAAACAGGTGGAGGTTTCAAAGAGCAGACTTTAATACTCCATTACTTTTCAACTGTAGGATTTACCATCCAGCAGAAAGCAGTGAGCGTATGGAAGTACAACAAGCAGGGCTGTGTTACTGCATTACAAAGCAGGCAGCCTGTGGAGTGTCTGAGCTACAGTGAGTAACTGCTCGAGGAGGTGGTGGTGGTGGGGGATAAAATGCTTCATGAAATGCAAGGTTTATTATTATTGTCATCTTGACTAACTTGGGTCTCGCTAGACGCTGTCTGCATTCTGCTCTTACTTCCTCTAATGCTTTGTTTAGTTAACTTTGTTTAGAGGATTCCTGGTTCTATCTACTTTTGGTTCCCTTCATATGAAAATATTTCTGAACTTTAGGTTGAACTTCTTGATCAGACACAATAGCCTTGGACGCGTGAGGTATCTCTATTCAGGATGTACTTTCTCTTCACTTCCCTTAAAATTCCATGTTTCCTCTGTGGTCGTATTATCTTGTTTTGTTTCCTGTTTAACCCTCTTCACTCCAGTTCACATCCTAAATTTGCTGATCAATTGCCATCATTGACAGGCTGGCTCAATTCGTAGCACTCTCGCCTCTGACTCAGAAAATGTGGGTTGAAGTGTCACGTTGGGATTTTGAGTTCATAAGATTAGGCTGATACTTCAGTACCCAACAGAGGGAGCAGAGCATTGTACTGTCCTTCGGATGAGATGTTAAACCATGGTCCAGTCTATCTCTTGAGGTGAACATTAACAATCCTGTGGCACTATACGAAACAAGAAGCGAGTATCTATGGGGAAGGAAAAGAGATTCAGAACATTGTAACAGTAATTAATACTTACAACAATTAATAATTGTAATAATTTTGTCATTCAATCCACGATTGTTTGTGGGACACTGCTGTGAGCAATTGGCTGCCAAGTTTTGCCTATATAATGCACAGTCACTACACTTTACAGTATATTCTGTGAAGCGTTTTGAGATGTCTCGAAGACATGATATGCTGCTATAGAAAATGCAACGATTATTATTATTATTATTATTATTATTATTATTATTATTATTATTATTATTATTATCTCCCTGTGTCCTGGCTACAAATCTCCCAGATTCAACAACAAAAACAACCAAATTACATTTATATAGCGCCTTTCACATCAGGAGAACCTCCCAAGACCCTGAACAGTCAGTGTTTTGGACCCAAGCTGGGGGTCAGCATCGGGGAGAGTGAAGGGCAGGTGGGAAGGTGGGTGACTGAAGGCACAGTTGAACAGGAGGGATTTGAGATGGATGTTGAAGTAGGTAAGGGAGGGGGTGAGGTGGAGGGACCAGGGGATGGTGTTCTCGAGGATTGGGGCAGAGTCCCTGAAGGCTCCCCCGCCAATGGTGGAGCGGGCGAGGCGGGGGACATGAACAGGCTGGAGGCCGCTGAGCGGAGGAAGCAGACAGGATGGAAGGGGGTTAGGAGGTCGCAGAGGTAGGGGGGAGCAAGTCCATGGAGGGCAGTGAAGGTGAGGACCAAGGTTTTGAACAGTATCCTCAGTGTGATGGAAAGCCAGTGGAGTCGGGCGAGGATGGGGGTGATAGGGACGCGGAGCCTGGTTGGTAGAAGACACAGCTAGAGGAGAAGCTGTTTGTGGAGCTGAAGTGGAGTCGCTGTGAGAGGTAGGATCTGAACCAGTCAATTAAGTTGAAGTGAGAGGAGAGGCGGTAGAGGAGGATAATGGTATCAAAGGCAACAGAGAGGTCAAGGAAGATGAGGGGACATCTGGTCGCAGATGGACAAAATGTCATTTGTCACTTTGACCAAAGTTGTTTCTGTGTTGTGGGCGGCACAGAAACCCGATTGGAGGGATTCATAAAGGGAGGGGAGGGAGAGGAAGGAACGATGCTGGGAAGCAACGACTCGTCCCAGGACCTTGGAGAGGAAAGGGAGGGTGGAGATGGGGAGGTAATTTGAGAATAGGGATGTGTTCAGGGAGGGTTTTTTAAGGATAGGGAATTTAGATTTTATCAGACAACATGATAATGCAAAGATTATTATTGTACCAGGTAACGTAAGGTAATAGTAAATAATAATCCTTGCATTTGCTATAGCGGCTTATCATGTTGTTGAGACATCTCGAAAGGGGTTCGCAGAATTGTAAACTGGATTGACTGTGTATTTTGTGGGCGAAAAGTGACAGCCAATTTCACACAGCAGTGTCCCACAAACAGCTGTGAACTGAGTGACCAAATATTTTTAATTTACAAAATACACCAAACTGTATTTTGTAAGTAAATGTGGCAACCAATTTGTGCATATTTAGGGGGTTGCTGGCCAGGTCACAGAAGAAACTCACTTCACTTTTTGAATAATGCCATGGGATCTTAATTTCGACCTGAATATGCAATCTGGTTTCAATGTCTCAGCTGCAAGACACCACTTGCAGCTGAGACAGTGAAACCAGATTGCATGTTCAGGTGCAGAGTGGCAGGTCAGACTATGTGAGTGTCATCAAGCACTCCGGGACACTACCCGGTGTGAAGGGCGCTATATAAATGCAAGTTGTTACCAACTGAGCCAGGCTAACATCGGGCCTCTCTCGCTCTCTCTCTCTCTGCTGTTCTGGTCTGACTGTTGTTTCTGAGTTACTGAAGTCCATGGTGATTGCATTACAAGTTCCTGCCTTTCTCACCTAACCAAACAGCGTTATGTACTTGCTCAGCCTGAGCAGGGTGTTGAACAGTTGCGTAACCTGGGTTTCTCAATATGTAAACTTCAACACTTCCTGATGGAATTAGTTCCGCAATTGGCTAAGAAGAGGACATTGGTAATGAACAACTGCACAGGTTCGGGGAGTCTGGCACCATCCCGTGGTGAAACATGCAATAACAACTGTCCATTTATTATTTAAAATAGTAATCCTTGCATTTGATATAGCGCCTTTCACGTTGGAACAATATCTCAAAGCCCTTCATAGGATTTCCTGTAAGGTATAGTAACTTTGAATTTTGTAGGCAAACACGGCAGCCAGTATGGACCAGTGTCCCACAAACAGCCATAAACAATAAGAGTAACCGATTTTATTTGGAGAATTGTTGGCCAGGACTGGAAGAAATACCCATCTCTTATTGAAAAGTGCCACGGGATATTTAGAGACCACCTGAACAGATTGCCAGTTTAACATCTCAGCTGAAGGAAGTCACCTCCAGCAATGCACACCCCCCCAACACTGAGTTGGAATGTCCGGATGCAGAGGTTGAATCCATCGAGGCAAAATGCTATCAACTGAGTCAGGCTAATATTTAGCCTAGTGAAGATGTACAACAACAACAAATTACACTTGCATAGGATCATTCACATTGGAACGACGTCCAATCAGAGTTTTTTGGACCCGAGCTGGGACTTGGGGTTAGGAGGGGTGGAGGGCGGGGGAATGGGGATGGAGGTGGGAAGGTGGCCGAAGGCACAGTCGAAGAGGAAGGTGTTTAGACGGGACTTGAAAGAGGCAAGAGAGGGGGTGAGGTGGAGGGATTGCGGGATAGAGTTCCAGAGTGTTGGGGCAGAGATGCTGAATGCCCGACCGCCAATGGTGGGGTAGGAAGTGCAGGGAACTTGATATATTACTAATAATCCTTGCATTTGATAATGCACTTGTAAAAATGAAATGTGTTAAAGTGCTTCACAGCTAATTACTGTCCAGTGTAGTCACCTTGCAAACAACAAGGTCCTACAAACATCCATAAAGTGAAAGATTAATTTATCTGGAGGACTCCAGATCTGATGGCATTGGCAAAGGATCTTTAATATTCACCTAAACAGGCAGGCAGAATCTCAAATTAACATCCCATCCAAAGGATCTCTGACAATATAGTTCTCTCTCCGAGACTAGACTGTGAGTTCAAGTCCCAAAATGGCACTTCAACCATAATCTTCTGAAGCAGAAGCAAGAGTGCTACCAACTGAGCCAAGCTGACACCTGAAGATGATGGAGTATCGAGTTTGTGGTATTTCTTAAGATAATTCCTTAAAGGAATGTTTTTCGCAAGAACTGAACTTGGGATCTGGCTTGTATGGCTCAGTGTTGGAGAGTCCATTCACCCAGTGCGATCTCAGGGAATTGTGCTCAGAAGAGATTTGTTAATAACATTGCTTGCACTCTGTCTGAAGCCCAGAAGGTACCAATCCTGCTGTTCAGTGGCCACAGAGATGGGACCGTTCTGAAATGGGAACGACATCAATCTTCCTATTTCCTCTACAGGTTAGTCAGCACTCAATATTTAGTAACCTTTATAACTAAAGATGTCTAACACGCCGGCAAATCGAGAGATTCCTGGTGTATCAGGACATAAGTCAGGCTGACCCGCTCTCTGAATCCAATCTCAGTCCTGACTTCCATGAAGCTGGCAACTGGTTGCAGATCAGTGTCCAAACACAGATCTGGACTATCGGCTTGAGATACACACACATACACACCTGTATGACTTGGATGATTATGATCAACTATTTAGAACACAAATTAAATATCAATTTGTCTGGAGGACTGTTGGAAACTTCCTTCTCTTTTCAAATAGAGTTATAGGGTCTTTAACATCTTCCTGAACAGACAGAAAAGAGCTTGATTTAACATTTCATCCTAAGGATAGCACCCTGAACTATGCAGTGATGCAGTGCTTTGGCAGGACTGCATTGTGTGTTGGTGGGTATCAAGGGTAACAGTAAATTTTTTTTATCAATATATCAAAAGAAAAAGTAGAAAAGGGGAATCTGGTCACAATAAAGTCACGATTTCACAATATAGAGGAAGAGGACAAAATACCAGCGGAACAAGGGAACCTAAAATAAATCAAGAGAAGTACTTAATGGATTTAATATAAATAAAAATGGTAATGGAGAAAACAATGGGACTAATGATAGACAAAACTCCAGGACCTGATGGATTTCACCCCAGGGTATTAAAAGAAATAGGATGGGAATTGTAGGTGCGTTAGTCATAATTTCCCAAAGCTCTTTATATTCGGCAATTGTACCCTTGGATTGGAAAATTGCAAATGTCACCCCATTATTTAAGAAGCGAATGCGGGAGAAACCAAGTAACTAGAGACATGTCATCTTACTTCAGTTGTGGGGAAGTTACTGGAGTCTCTCGTCAGGGACAGAGTGACTGAGCATTTGGACATTATTAACTAACCAAGGAGAGTTAACATGGATTTGTGAAGGTTCGGTCATGTCTGACGAATCTCATTGAATTTTTTGAGTCACTAACATGGTGGATAAAGATTGCCTATGGATATTGTCCATATTGAATTTCAGAGAATTCCGTACAAGAGTTTTTAGCAAAAATAGAATCGGAGGTAACCTTGTACACAAATCACTAAAAATGAGCTCACAGGTACAAAAAGTTATTAAAAAGGCTAATGGGTTGTTGGACTTTATCTCAAGGGGGCTGGAATATAAAGGAGAGGAAACAATGATTCAATTGTATAGAGCCTTGGTCAGACCCCATCTGGAGTACTGCATTTAGTTTTGGGCATCATACCTCAGGAAGAATATGTTGGCTCTGCGGGGTGGGGAGGGGGTGGTTGTAGCTCAGATTCAATAGAATGATACCAGGGCTTACAGGGTTAAATCATAAGGCCAGGTTGCATGAATTTGGTCTCTATTCCTTGAGTTTAGAAGGTTGAGGGATGATCTGATTGAGGTGTTTAAAATAATAAAGGGATTTGATAGAGTAGCCACAGAGAAACTATTTCCTCTGGTAGGGGAATCCAGAACAAGGAGCCATCATCTTAAAATTAGAGCTAGGTCATTTCAGAGTGAAATCAGGAGGCATTTTTTTCACGCAAAGGGAAATGGAAATCTGGAAATCTCTCCCCCAAAAGACTATGGATGCCGGATCCATTCAAATTTTCAAGACTGAGTTGCATAGAGTTAGGTAAGAGTATCAAGGGATATGGGACAAAAGTGGGTAAATGGAGTTGAGTTAGAGATCAGCCATGATCTAATAGAATGGCAGCACAGGCTCGAGAGTCTGAATGGCCTTCTCCTGGTCCTATGTTCCTTGGAGTGGGGAGAGATCTCAATCTAGACTGGGAGCTCAAACGTATGCTTTGTAAAAACAACCTTCTCGGAGCCGAGCTTTGCTGTGCCATGGCTTTTCCTCCTCCCTACAAATATTTCCAAAGATCCTTGTACAATTTCAAAAGATTCTTGTTTTATCTGCAATCATCACTCACTGGCTGCTTTCTCCCCTCAGTCATGAAGCCTTTAACCTGTTGGATGAGCAGTCAAAGGGAGAGGAATCTCACAATAATAAAACACAGTGGAGGAAAACCACATACAATAAAACCCACCACACATACTGGACTGCAGGCTCAAAGCTCAGTAAAGTCCAGAAATCAGCTGATACCAGGACACCCAACCAAGTCAAAAGACCTCGTTTCACCAGGTAGGCCTGTCAACCTGCCATGGTTAAATGAGTAGGGAATGTGACGACAAGTCTCATAATAAAGGAACGTCAGCATAACACTCCCTGTACTCTGCTCAGACAACAATAACACATTACATTTGAATAGTGCCTTTCACGTTGGGAGGATGTCCCAATGCGCTGAATTCTGAAACAGCTCTAATTAGACTCTCTATACCCATTTCCCAGTCCTCACCAGGATTCGTTGACTCCTAGGACCAGTAGATTGATTTTAAGATGCTTGTCATAAACTTCAAAACCTTTTCAGATCGCCCTCCTCCCTATCTCTGCAATCCTCTCCAACTCCATTAATCTGCACATCCACAGTGTTCTTCAGTCAGATTGATTGCTGACTGACCTGTAGAGGAAGTAGGAAGATTCTAATTCAGTTCTGTCTTTTCTTCGCTGGTCTTCTGATTCGCTGTTCCGTCATTTCCTCCATCTTTTACCATTGATGGCTATGCATTCAGCCACCAAGGCTACGCTCTCTCCCAATCCCCTTCACTTTGCAATTCTCTCACTGCCTAAAGATTGCACAGAATTTTAGAAAAAAGGTCCTCATTTGAAAACCAGTTTTCCAGATTTTTTTTAAGAACCTGGCTTCTGAATGAAGACTGAATTTAAGAATCCTCCCAAAATTCCAGAGATATTAAGACAGTTCTCGTACAGCTGACACTGAGGAATCTGAGTGCCTGATCTCGGTGGGTCTGTATTGCAGGTCAGTGTTTGTGGAAGAGCTGGATCTGTTGGCACTGGCTGCGGAGGATGGGAAGGTTTACCTCTGGGGATTTGATGACTCCCTTTCCAGCATCCTCAAGATGATGCCTTCAAAAGCCAAACTGCAGCAAGACAGGATACGGGTGAGAGTACCCACAGAAGACAAGGAAGGGGGAGAACGGCTGTTTTGGTTGAGTCCAACCCTATAGGATAAAAGGATACAAATGAGGCTTGAATTACAATACTGGGTGAATTTGGCAATTTGTCTCAACAGATTCTCCATGTTAACTTATACACGAAAGGCCCAAAATTTGACCCAGTCTTAGTTCGCAATTCCATTTTATCTTAAAATTTTAAATCATTTGGAATTTTTGAAAATTATTCAACTTAGTCTTATTTTGGAGGTAGTTTATCACAGTTTTAAAATAAATTAATTCCAAATTATTAAAATTGAATTTGAGGATTCTCCACAATTCTGTGTGCTAAAATTTTAAGATAAAATAGTCTAACCAGCTCAGACTAGATGGAATTTCAGTCCTTAAATCTATTGAAATATGTAATCTTTACTCAAGACGCTAGTCCACTTGACCTGCGCTATAAATGCAGGTTTTTGTTGCTGTTGTACATTGCTGCTCATGAAATATAATTAGTAACTTATGTCTCTACATTATAAGCTTCAGAACTAAAGAGGGGAAAATAGAACCAAGACACTCCAAGAACACTATGTAAATGCAAGTTGTTGTTTTAGAAACTATTAGTAACTGCTAATCTCTCCTAACAGCCTGCACATGAGTCCAGATTAACGTGGGTCCTGGGAGAGGTGAAAGTTTCCATACTTTTATTTCAGAAAAATTGTAAAATGGGAAGTTACACGACACAGATCCACAGACATGCTCCGTAGTAAGAAACAGCTTGACCTGGTAATAGATACTCAAGAAAGATGAAATCGAATGGATTGAATATTCCCTTTTCATTCAAACCTCTTGTATAAAAACCAGAGCAGCACATTCTCCTGAAATGCTGCAGATTCCTCCATCACAAGACGCAACAATTTCTTTCCTATGTTTTCCAGAGATTTGAAGTTCTCTTGGACCAAACTCCCAAAGACCATCTCTTTGACCTCAAAGACAATGAAAACGATGCCGATTCTGTTACAAACCGTGTTTCAGGTAAAGGAAGCAGCCAACAAGTGAATTCAGACAAGTGATTCCTGCTGATCAGAAAGTCAGTAAAAAATTGTTGGAGCAGAATGCATAGATTTTTCTAAAAAGAAATGAGATAAATGCTTGTGAAAGAGGCACATTGCAGGATGTTGAAGCAAGTGAGAGAATAATAATAGTAATAAGCCTTGTATTTGGTATAGCACCTTGCCATGTCTTTGAGATATCTCAAAGCCCTTCATAGGATATACTGTAAAGTGGATTGACTATTTTGTGGGTGAAACAGTTAGATTTGGGTTATAATAAGTCACTTCACTTGACAGCAATTACCCCTGAAGTGCCTTGAGACTTGTTTGATGTTGCTGGCGCTATGTCAAAGGCAGTAATGAGGATTTAGCTCCCTCAGCATCCATTACAGGCTTGGGGTGGGAAGTGGATTGCACTTTGGTAGTTTTCGGAAATCTAAATTCATCATTTTGTGAATATGGCAAATTAGGCCCCGAGATCCCCGGGAGAAGCTCATGTGCAGAATCGTGCCTCCAGTCTGTCTTATCTGTTGAATTTAGGCTTTGTTTGCAAGAAGGTTTTATCCGGACACTTACAGCTGGTGACAGGGCTCGCTCTGGTGGCGAGAGGTGGAAGCAGCAACACTAACTATCTGGTGAGTGAATCTTCTGAAGCTCATTCTATGCTGAGATTCTGATAGAATAATTAAATTAAAATCAGACAATGCTGGGAATTACAAAATAGGTCGCTTGGTATGAAGGGCTTGAAATTACACTCAGTCTTAATATGCAAGAGCAAAATAGAAGATGAAGCAGAATTGTGAAAAATTCTTAAATTCAATCATAATTTGGAAGCTGGTTCTTTTTATTAATAATAAAATAATAAAGCGCTTCACAGAATATGCTGTAAAGTGTATATTTTGTAGGCAAAACGCGGCAGCCAATTACGCACAGCAGTGTCCCACAAACAGTCGTGGATTGAAATGATCCAAATTATTATTTTAAAAAATAAGATTTTTTTTAAGAACTTTTTAAGGTTTGCAATGGATGATCTCAGATCGTATCTGCCTTATTCTGAGACGTACTTGATCCTAAGAAAGCTAGATGGGTCGGTGTTGTGGGCGATTGGCTCTGTATGTAAGCTGTGTATATAACCTAGGAAAGCTGGATGAGAAAGTGTATTCAGTGCTGATATCCCTCACCTTGATGATCAAGCAGACAACAGAGAACAGAGAGGGAGGAGATGATCTCAGAATGTAGCATGTGCGTGAATGATCATCTGACCACTGATATTAAGTTGTCAGTACAAAGCTCATGGATTATATATACATGAGACCTCATGGGATGTGGCCAAATATCAACTTAATAATAATCCTTACATTTGACAGAGTACTTGTAAGGGTGAAGCTTCTCAAAGCATTCTCAAACCAGATCAATGCTCTCAGAGGGAGTGACTGCACCTGTGGGCAAACACAGGATCCAGTTTGCACACGGTAAGGTCCCACTCAAGAACTAACCTGGAACACGCTATATAAGTGCAAGTTGTAGTTGTTGTTGTGGGATTGTTGACTAGGAAAACGGGAGAAACCAAAGGAAGTAGAGTTTAATTTCTTATTCCAAAGGACAGCACCTCAACTCAGCCTGAAGTGTGAGCTCAGACCCACCAGCTTCTGGCCCAGAGGCAAGTTACCACCCACTGAGCTTTGCTGACAACTTACATTTGCCTAGAAATGTCACTGAGAAGAAAACGTATATTACAAATATGAATTTGATGCTGATTTTAATGATTTCATTTCCTAACTGTTTCTATTCTTAAACGTTTGTCAGATAAGTGGAGGCTGGGACGGGAGACTGTGTGTGTGGGATTTGCAAACCGGGGCATTGAAAGACACATTCTGTCACACTGCCTCAGACAGTCAAAGTGAGGTTCAAGACCTGGCCAATGATGGTGCTATTTTGGATCTTGCATATAGCCCAAAACGGTAAGATGATGTGTGGAGAGAAACAGTCACTACAGTGGCACACTCTGAGATGGGAAATCTAAATGCTAAACCGGGGGGGGGGGGGGCGGGGGGGGGGGGCGGCGGGGGGGGGGGGGTCAGCCTGCCTCAGTTTGAAACTCTCTCACCTCTCAACAACATCAACAACAACTTGCATTTACATAGTGCCCTTCACACAGGGTAGTGTCCCAGACACTCTCAGTCACAAGGTTGTGATATCAAGGCCCACATTAGGAATTTGAGCTAAGACTCCAGACTGACATTCCATCACAGTGCTGGAGGAATGATACATTGACAGAGGTACTGTCCGTGAGATGTTAACCAAGGTCCTGTCTAACTGTTTAGGTGGATGTTAAAGATAGCCTAATACCTGTAAGCAACTAACTACCAATACTCACCTGAGCTCTGTGGCAAACTGAATCAGATATTCAAGAGAAACTGGCAATCACACCCACCAATTAATTTACAGTTAAAAGTCTTATTGTAATCCCTTAATCTCAGACAATCCTACAAAGGGAAACTGTCCTGATAGCCTCACCTCAATACGGCTCAACCACCAGCACCGTCAGTGAAATCCACCAACAATAAGAGTCCCACTCAATTCTGTCCTCAAGACTGCTGAGAAACTCATCCATGCCTTCATCATTTTCAGACTCGATCACTCCAACGCCCTGCTATTCACATTCCTCATCTCTTCCCAACACAAGCTGCAGAACATCCAGACTATACAGCCAGTGTCCTCTCCTGACAGGCTCCACAAGTCCATTTCCCTCATCCTCACTTGGATCACTGCCCCCTCCTGCCTCCCCCCCACCATATCTCATCAGATTGAATTCAATATTCTCCTCATTTTCAAATCTTTGGTCTCAACCCAACCAACCTGTGTGACCTCCTGCAACACTGCTGCCCCAGGCTCTCCGTCCCCTCAGTGAACAGGTCTCCTTCACATCCTCACCCGCTCTGTCCTGCCACCAGTCAACACCACTGACTATGGGATTCCCACTGACGTCTATTCTTTCTGTCTTCCAGGAATGAATTTGCCTATTCTTCAAGCGAAGGAATGGTCTACCTCCGACGCTTCAGCCCCGTTGCGGCACAAATGATTCTGGTGAATGTACTTCGAGGTCACGAGGCTGATATCACATCAGTTGTGTGGCATTCACGCCTAGAAAAATGGCTCAGTGGCTCAGAGGATGGAACGATACGCATTTGGGCAAGTATCTCACTCACAGAGTTGATCTGCTAGGGTACTGGGAGCCAGTGGAGCCTGGTGAGCATGCTGGTAATGGGCGCATGGAGGATCAGTATATCTGCTACCGTGTACAACAACAATAACAACAGTTTCTAATTTGTATAGTGTTTTTCACATCAGGAGGACATCGCAAAGCATTTCACACAGCTGACTAGGAGCCCAAGCTGACAGTGGGGGTGAGGAGATGGAAGGGGTAGTTTAGAAGTTTTGTGGAATCATATGCCTTGGATGTGTGTCCTGGTACGATACACAAAAATAAATTAGAAGCAGCTGCTATTCCAGAGAACTCACAGATTTGGTTATTTGTAACAGAGTGAAGATGGAATGCAGTGCGAGCAAGTCCTGGTTACTCACGGAGCCGTGAGCTGTCTCTGTGTCGATCAGGTCAATGGCTGCATCGTAGCTGGGATTCAGGAAATCATGAGGTATGATTTTATACAAATCTAATCTATAGGGACATATTATATAACATAGAGGAACATATATAATAGATAGAGGGATATGCATGACCAGAACAAAATACTACCGGTGGGCACCATCGCTCAGCATCTCACATACCTTCCCTTCACTGTCTAAATAAAATCGATTTCCCTCTTCACTGCCCACACTATCTGCCTCCACTGCCTTCTGCGCAACCTGTTCCACATGATAACAATCCTCTGTGTAAAGTAGTTAAATGGAAACTGTCTGTTCCTATTCCCTCTGTGTTACCCCTTTCCTAAGAACACAAGAATTTGGTAGGCAAAAGAAGACCAAGGTCCAGTTCGCCTTCCACCATCCTGACAGTCGCTTGGCAGGGCATGTCCCAAATTATATATTGTATCCCGAGATATTATTTTCTAACAGAAATCTGTCTAATTTATTCTTAAAACAAACAACACTTCCTGCTTTCACCCTAGGGAGTTTGAGCCATACGTTTCACTACTCGCTCACTGAATTAGTGTTTCCACAGATTTATTCTGAATTTATCTCTCTTCAATCACAGGCTGTGTCCTCTGGTTCTACTGTTCAGTACATGATAAAACAGCTTATCATGGTTTACATTATCTAGTCCTTCAGAATCTTAAAAACCATGATCATGATCATATTGCCCCTAAACCTTCTCTTCTCCAGTGTGAACATACCCAGTTAACCTAATCAATCCTCATAGTCCAGTCCCTCCATCCCCTCAATCATTTTGGTTGTCCTCCTCTGTATCCTCTCAATTGCTGCAATATCCTTTCATATTGCGGTGACCAGAACTGCACACAGTATTTCAAGTGCAGTTGCACCAGTTAATTATAAAGTGGCAGGATTATCCCACTATTTCAGTTCAATTTTGCCCTTTTAATGCAACCTAGCATCTGGTTTGCCTTACTCACTGCTACCGAACACTGTTGCAATGGCTTCAATTTATTGTCAATCAGGACTCCCGGGTCCTTTTCATTTTTCGTACAGATTATTTTCTTTCCATTTCAGTAATAGTCCCTTTCTGGATTTTTTTTCCCATTAAAGCACTTTGCATTTCTCTACATTGAATTTCATCTGCCATCCATCTGCCCAATTCCCAAGTATGTTCAAGTCCTCCTGTAATCTCTAGACCGCTTGACCATATCTGGTAATCTTTCTCCTCCCCAGCCTCACAGCTTCCATCCCCAGCTCGGGTTCCCCCGCAGTACTGTTAAGCACTTTGGAAAGTCCTCCCAATGTGAAAGGCACCATATCAATTTCATTTTTTTAATTGTATTGTCTAGCTTCTCTATACTCTGTAATCCAGAAGATTTCAATAAGATCACCCGTCATTGTCTCAATTAGATCCCAGTGTCTTTGTTCTGGTTAATTCTTACTGTGAATGCTTCCAGAGTTTACGATGCTGAGACGTTTATCCAAGTGCAGAGTAATACTGGACACACTGATTGTATCCGGACCATAATCCATATCCCCGAGAGAAAGCAGGTATCAGTAAACTTTCAAATCCAATTATTTTCATTTAAAGCCTTGTGTTCAGTACCAAAACATTCCTTAAACCTATGTCCTCTTGTTTTTTTTAAACTCAATTGATTTAGCAACATAGACCAGGATGCTGTTCGTCTTCTTTATTGCGGCCTCACACTGTTTTGACATACAGGCAACTAATACCCCTGGATCTCTTTCAGCTTTCCCATTGACAAGTTCTTCCCATTGATGGAGTACTTGGGTTTTCTATTCTTACCTTCTATGTGTAGTACCTAGGATTTATTTGCATCGGAGGTAGACCATTCCTTCGCTTGAAGAGTAGGCAAATTCATTCCTGGAAGGCAGAAAGAATAGACATCAGTGGGAATCCCATAGTCAGTGGTATTGACTGGTGGCAGGACAGAGCGGGTGAGGATGTGAAGGAGACCTGTTGAGGGGAAGGAGAGCCTGTCTATCCATCAGGTGGCACCAAACTCTTGATAAGTTTATCACGTTTTATGTTGACATGTTGAACAGACATACAATGAGTCTTAATGTAAATTGTGGGATCTAGAACAGTTGTTTGGGATTATTATTTTAGTTTGACATTGATTTTCTATGGTTGAAGGAGAAACAAAATCCTCTTTCCAGCCAAAAGATACACTTTTACCTATTAGGTCAAGGGCTAGCCTTGAGCCTTGCCCACCCGATCAGTAAAAGAATCATTTTAGACTGAGGAGAATGTGGTTCTCTCAGAACTATAAGTTCATAAGATGTCACTGGTGAGAGCTGAGCAGAAAAGCTTTGATTTTGTTAATATTTGACTGAAGGAAGTTAAGGCCCATGACTTGATGTCAGGCAAACATGTCAAGTAAAACCACCAATGCTTATCAATTGTCTCCTATGCCTTGGGACGCCCTCCCGATGTGAAAGGCGCTATACAAATGTAATTTTGTATTATATTTTGAATTGTTATTTCCTTTTATATTCTTTCCCTAGTACATATCTGCATCCTGGGATAACACTGTGCGTGTCTGGAATGCCTACATCAAATGTCTGCCCAGGACTAGAAACCCGACTGGAAATGCAATCTAACAAGTTGAGAGCCTGTAAAACAACTCAACATTTCATTCCAAATTATTTAACACATATTTATCATGAAAAGCAGCTAATATTTAATACCAAAAAAGATAACAAAATTACATTTACATCCCTCTCCCAACTCTCTTCCCATTGCTCACATACAGAAGTACCAACATATTTATAGCATAATATAATAATATAATAAACATAAATACTTATATAGTAAAGAAAGACCTCCTGAAATAGGTGTTATTGTTGAATTACTAAATTGGGGACATGGGGGAAGGAAATTTCAAACATTAACTTGTTAATTTTTTAACAAAAACTGATAAGCAACAATTTTTAAAACGTTTTTAAAAAGTTAAAAATTAAATTATTAAAAATGATTTGGGTTGATGGGCAGATTGCTTTCAGGGGATAATAATCCATGACTGTTTGTGGGACACTGCTGTTTGCAATTGGCTGCTGTATTTTATAATAATAAACCCGCAAAATACACAGTCAATTCATGTTAAATATATTCTGTGAAGCGCTTTGTGACGTCTCAACGACATGATAAGGTGCTATATCAAATGCAAGGATTATTATTATTATTATTACCACATTTCATCCAAATCCGCCAGTGTCGCTCATGTGCATTGCTGGGTTTTTTCCCAACCTACGCTCTCACCTCGTTTCTCTGTCCCTGTCTTTAGAGGAGATTGAAGGGGAAAATTAGCAAACGGTAGCCCGGAGATTGTTGGGCTTTTCTCATTACATATACATGTGTTTCAGTCATAGGCATGATGGATGAGGGTGTCATAAAAATGCACCACAGCATTATTTGCCATGGCGGGGGGTGGGGTGGACAAGACCTCACTGTTTGTCTCAGAGATTCGCCATTGTCACCAGAGAAGATGTTCATTGTACATTTCAATACACACCATCAGCATTACACGTCTAAAACATTGACATCCTCAAAAACTCCCCCCCCCACCCCTCAACTCGCCCCCCCACATCCAGCAGTGCTTGGTGCCACATGTCGCCTCTAGTGTGTAATAATAAGCTGTTGAACCACTGCCAGATTCTTTGAAGGTGGATGGCCCTGAACTGCAGACATATTGGATGAACACAAGTCACAACAGCTGAGTGCTTCTGCACAATGGTGTTTCTCAATCTTCATCCGAGTTTTTTGCATCGCACAAAGGCTTCATACAGCACGTCGATATATTTCTACAAACAAGCCTTTAAAAAGGATACAAATTACTCAACAAGAACATTTTTCGTTTGCAAAACAAACCAAGCCAACAATGGAAGCAAAGATCATTGAACCTTGTCTTAACACTGAAGCCGCCTGACAATCAAGAGTCAAATGTTCAGTTGAGATGGCGAGGCTGGTTTTAGATCCAGTCCAGATGGGGGGAGGGGTTTCCTCTCTTTGCCACATGTAATAGGGAATTTAGGGAAACTCACCCAGTTCCCAGGACTATTGCATTAGATCACTCCAAATTTGCATTCGCTGACAAAGAATGGATGCTTGACTCAAAAAGTCCATAAGGATTTGTTTGAATAGAAATGGAAATATTCCCACTGACGTAGAAGGAAGTTGAGGACTAAGCAACTGTTGGAGCAGAGTAATAATAATAATACACCTTGCATTTGGTATAGTGCCTTATCATGTCAGAAAGATGTCTCAAAGAACTTCACAGGAATTTCTGTGAAGTGGAGTGGTTGTGTATTTATAGGTAAACGTGCCAGCACAATTGCACACAGCAATGTCCTACAATGATCAATATTATTTGGGGGATTGCTGGCTAGGACACCAGGAGAAACTCCCTTGTCCATCACCTCCGGAATATCGCCAGATTACGGCACTACCTCACCCCTCACGCTGCTGAAACTCTGGTCCACGCCTTTATCACCTCAAGGCTGGACTATGGGAACTCTCTCCTCGCCGGCCTTCCCGGCCCTCCCTCCACAAGCTGCAGGTCATTCAGAACTCTGCAGCTCGTGTACTGTCCCGCACCAGGCTTCGCAACCACATCACTCCCACCCTCACTCGCCTCCACTGGCTCCCCATCCCCCAGAGGATCGAATTCAAGATCCTCATCCTCACCTACAAGGCCATTCACGGCCTTGCTCCCTCCTACCCCTCTGACCTACTATCCCCCTAGTTACCTGCCCGTAACCTCCGTTCCTCTGGCTCCGGCCTGCTCCACATCCCCCGCCCCAACCGCCCTACCATCGGTGGCCGGACCTTCAGCCTCTCAGCCCCAAGGCTCTGGAACTCCATCCCCCAGTGCCTTCGCCGCCTCCTCCCTTTCCTCCTTCAAGGCCGGTCTCAAGACCTTTCTCTTTGACCGTGCCTTCAGCTCCCCTCTCGACTCTCTACCCCTCCTCGCTCCCTCCCTTCCCTCCCCTCACCCTGACCATTTCCCCCTGCTCAGGTCCCGACCTAACTGTCCAGCGCCTTGGGACGTCCTCCCGACGTGAAAGGCGCTCTATAAATGAAATCTTGTTGTTGTAGTAGTGCCATGGAATCTTTAACATCCACCTGAGCAGGCAGACGGGACCTTGGTTTAACATCTCATCCAAAGGATGGCACCTCTGACCATGCAGCACACCCTCAGCACTGCATTGAAGTGTGAGTTCAAGTCCTGATGTGGGATTTGAACCCACAACTTTCTGACTCAGAGATGCGGGTGCTGCCAGTGAGCCAAACTGATACACAAGCTTTTATTCTGTACCTAACCTATGCTGCACCTGGCCTGAAAGTACCAGTTTGGACAGTATAGAGGAAGCTTTACTCTGGATCAAGCTCACCAATCTACTTGTGAATTTTCCCTTTGAATAACTTCGCCCCCTCTCCTAAAGACACATATTGGGTTAGGTTTGAGCAGTGCAAGAAATCCTCTATACATGGGTTTTTAAACTGTGAGGTCCCTTTGGGGATATGACAAGCGAGTGCTGGGTGTTGAAATTGGGTGCCTAAAATGGGAAAGAGTTTCATTGGCTTCCTATCCCCCAGTGGATCGATTTCAAGATTTTCATTCAAGAAATAAACCATATACTGTAGAAAAATTAAATGCTTCAAAAAGAAAACTGATATAGCAGGTTATTAGTAATCAGTATAAAACCTCATCGTGGTAATTGGAGTGATACCAAATAGTTTATTTCAGGGCTTTAAGGAGGAAATAGTTGGATTAGATTTAGTGGATTTCTGAATATAGAGCTCAGAATGTTACATTTGTGGTGAGAATTATTTTTTAAATACAGAACTAAATTGTACTCCATTGAGTTTGTCTGTGCCATAGATAATTTGACTTCTATACCATGCAGTTGTATCTGAATGCACATACGTGCATGTCAACAATCTCTTCAATATCCACGCACAATCCACATATTTTGAGGAATTCTCAGGTACATGACCTTCTGTGGGCCTGATGCACTACACGGATGGCTCCTTGGTAACAGGGGTTATGCCCTCAGTCTTTGGCTCCTTACCTCCATGACACACCCATGTACCCCAGCTGAGAAGCATTACAGTACTGCATATAAGCAAACTTGTGTCATCACTGAGGATATCTTTGAAACAATATTTTCTCTGCTTTGATCACTCAGGCTATGTTACTGTCCTACCCCATAAAGTGCGAAGATTGTGCTTCCTGCTATTTGTTGCACACCGGGAAGAAACATTGCACTGCTCACAAGTGCGGATGAATGTTGTAAACTTCTCGCTCGGGGGCTATTACCCAAGATTCAGTAAATTTGCACCAGTGAGTGCTAATTATAGAATACCCATGTATGTCTTATCATCTACTCTTCACATTTGGTGATGTACAACACTGCAGGCCTGGCTTTTCACCTGGGTTTGTCAGTAATAATACAGAAAAATGTTCTGCGACACCTTCAAGTACAGTTTGTCAATCATAATATTATTGAGCTGGATGACCAAATCAACACTCATTGTTTGTTGCAAAAAGTTAAATGCAGCTCGCATAGTCCAGATTTCTTCTGCGCTCTCTGTGTGGGTAGGTTGGGGAGGAACTTTAGTTCCCGAGAAAGTAAACAAAGTGGAGCCACAAACGAGCTTTTAAAAATATTTGTCAATTTTTTTTGTGTGCTCGGAATATTCAAGCGATAAGTAGCTGTCGCTAAAAGATTTCTTGTCAAGTTCAGATAGTGTTCTTAGCAAAACAAAGTTGTGTGGGGTTCTATGCAGCTTTAAGTTGTTGCAATAGCCCATGACAGCAGTGCTGTTCAGTGGAGATGACAATGGAGGCCCTTATTGATTAAATGGTAATGACTGTTCTGTGGTGTTCTGAGACCATAGTTCTTTCATTGGCTGTATTCGTTTACTGCAACAATTCATTGATGTTATTGAAAGCATGAGTGGGATCTCGTGGTTCAGTCACCCAGCCCTGCAGCAAGAAACGGATAGTCCCTTAGGAGGGTTTGTTTAGGTTCAGATTAATATTTTGTGAATGAGGAACTTCACAAGTAAGGTGAAGACAATAGCAAGCGAGATTACTAAATATGTTTCTGGATGAATTAATGTTGTCTTGACATTTATTAGTGTTTGAATCTCTCTCCCCAAATCCCTTTTGTCTTGTTCCTTTTTTTCTGACTTCAAATTTCTCTTAAAATTCTTTCTCCTTGACGGCTTTGGTGTGCAACCTTAAATTCCTTTTGCTCTCCATGCTCAATGCTCTCTTTGAGACATTCATCCAGCAAAGATCACAGAGCACAAAGGATGGGATAAAGCAAACAATTGTACTTTTAAAAAAGTTACCCAAATGATTGTGAAAACTGTAATTCTTGACCCAATGTGTATGTAGTGCTTTTTCTGAATACAAAGAGAGTCTTGTTTTCAAGCTGTTATTCTTCTCATTCTCTTCTTGGCTGTGATGAGTCTTTTTAAACACCAGTTTTCTTTGAGGTGATTATTCATCATCCCAAAAGGCATCCCAAACAAATAAAATGGAACCTTGTTAAAGCAACCCGTGATATAGTGCGGCACAATAGCAGATTTGACAGTGTTAAAAGAGAAAATTGATTGCCCTATTTGTCTACAAATACACACTAACTACACTTCACTGTAAAATTCTGTGATGTGCTTTGAAGTGGTTTGATGATATGATAAGGCTCTATTTCAAATGCAAGGATGGTTTATTGCAGATGTAGAATAGCTGACTTTCGCATCATTGGAACACCACAAACTCACTTCCTTATTTTGTGTTTAGTTTATACCACAACATCACTTCCTGGTTTCAGCACATGCACAAAATGGGAAAACCATCATGTTTATCAAATCTTATAGAATTTTTTGAGGATGTAACTAGCAGGTTAGATAGGGGGGAACCAGTAGAT